AAGAGTAACTACCCTCAATATTTTATGGATAATGATACACTGGTCAAGAGATTGCAGGATGTAGTAGATAGGTTTAATAGGTTCTTTGTGAATGTTGGTCCTGGTTTAGCAAGAAGCATTTGTACAGATGATACATCCGTCACTATAAATAATAATACAATCGAAAGGAACATGTGTTCTATGTTTTTGAAGCCCATAGCTGAAAAGGAAATTATAGAGATAGTAGTGGATGAGTAGTGGATTTTTCCCACGTGCTGTATAATCCATTAATGTGAATTCAAATGTTATCAAAAATGGTCAGACAGTAGAGGGTTTTGGGAAAATACTATTAAATGTTTGACATGCCATTCAAAATGGCTGCTATCATGATATCTACTCTCACTTCTCCAGTTTTGAATTAGCCACTACTGTAACTGTACTGTCAACATCTTTGTGTTAAAATAAGATTTGTTTTGCAGCTAGTGAGATGCTTTTAACAACTCAGAATATAACACAAACATGACTTTTAGTGAATATTATGGATTTTGTTTGAGATCTATAGATTTGTTTTTGTGAATGCTAAATATGTTTCACAGATTATGATTTTATATTGAGAACATGCTGATGTTAATTGAATGGGATAAAATAAATTACATGACAATAATATATAAATGAGTTAAATGAACCTGGGTATTGCAGTAAAAAGCTAAGCTTGCATCTACCAAATCTGCACATATTTATTTTTTAATTATTGGAATACAGATGCTGGGAGAGGGTACTTTATTGTTTGATTATATTCCGTATTACTCTGGAAATATAGGATAGATGTAAAGAGTAATCTGTAATGGTAAACCTTATAAGCTTATCATATTATACCATATATAACTGCACTCATGCACATGTTTGAAGCAGAGTTTGTCTGAGATATTGCTCTAGCACCTTATACTATATAGTAGTGGGCAAAATGCTTATGCCACCTGGTTAAATTGTTTTGTTTTGGACTTCCCCTGTTAGGTAACCTTTTTAGTCAACTGGTTTAAAATCAGCCTCTCAGAACTACTTGAGCAATTAACCACGTGACCTCCTATGAAAATGACACAACTGCCTATTACAGAGAATTATTTCTGGTTTACATTCTCTTTTTTTTCAATGTGATCTTAAGTAATAAAACATTTTAAAGTTACCAAGACTTCACTCAGTGATAAACACTGACTGGTTTTAGTAGGACATTTTCTAAACTGGAGTCAAGGGCCAATCAGCAAGTCCTTAAGACATTCAGTCTATGTACACATTACATTTTGTTGGTTTGTATTAAGGTCCACTATATATATTGCTGAAACAAAAAAAAAAAACAGCTGTATTTATAGTTGTGAAACAAAGAAGGAAGCAACTAACTCTGCGGTTGTTCTGAAATGTGTGTGCAATAACCTCCTATTTCTGACACAGCACAGGCACACACAGGACACACTATGCAAAACCGTGGTTTCTGTCAATACATACAACCTTTCACAGACAGTGGGCACATATCCACATTTGATGACACAGAAGCACATGTGCAGATTCAGTCAGGCGGAAACATAATCTTTTACCAGGCAGAGCTTTTCCCATTCTCACACACGTTGTGAAACCACTGCATTGAGAGTGCTAGTGTGAGGCATCGTAGAGAGCGTACACCTTCTTTACTGTCTTATTTTCACGGACACAAGTACGCGGCAGCTAGTTCTTCTTTGACGCAAAGGTATGTAAGTTTACTGGCAAACTCTGAGGTTTTGACTTTGTGTTTAAATTATGCTGCAGTTTCTCTCCTGATAAACTTTGAACAATGTCTTTATTTCTAAACTTCACATTATTTTAATGCTGTAATTTTTTCATGTTAATTAGATTTACTGAGGTGCTTGATGTGCTATGTAGCTGTTTATTTTTAGTCGTTTCCTGCTGTGCTGCATGCAAAATCGCAAACACTATATGCAAAATACCAATTCAGACTAACATAATACTACTGTATATGGTAAATGTCTTGATGTCTGCAGATTCTCAGTCATCCAGGCGAAAGAAATCTAGTCCAGTTGATTTTTTCTGAAGTTTTTTCAGCTAAATATCTTGATCTAGATTATGTGTTAAAGTATGAGCAACAAAGAGTATAGTACCTGTAAAGTATATAAATATAATGTGGTTTTGTGTGTGTGTGTATATATCAGTTGTACACATCTGTTGGTAAATTAGTACTGACTGTACATACTATAGATACTGTGCACTCTGCACTGCTGTTAGATGCTAGACTTCTGGTTAGATCCCAAAATGTATTTTGTTGCCTTGTACTTGTAATGACAATAGAGTTGAATCTAATCTAATTTAATAGGCAAAAATAATTTCAATCCTCAGTTTTTTATCCATGTGTATTTAATTATTTCCTGTAATTTCCTTATTTCTGTTCTAATGAACAATTTATTGATCTACTTATCTGTCAATATCACTAATTCTAATTTTTTCTAAATTTATTGTCCATTTCTCCTCTTTTCTCTCTCCCGTATCTGATGTACCCCATCTCTCATCCTCCATTTTTTCCCTATTTAAGATGGCTTCCACAGAAACCCAGACCGTGCTATCCACAGCCATAAGCTCCTTCATTAATGCAACCTCCTTGACTAACGCAGGCTCCGTACCCTACACCTCAAAGCCACCAGATCATAACGAGTACAGCAGAGTCCTCCTGGCCATCTACTCTGTGGTTCTGCTCAGTGGTACCATCAGTCTGAGCCTGATGATGCACATGATGAAGTCCGGCAGTACATCCATCACCTCAATTGCTGTACTCAACCTCATCTTTTGCCACTTTGTCTTCCTCCTTACTGTCCCCTTCAGGATTTATTATTACGCATCTAGGAACTGGAGCCTTGGCATCGGGTTGTGTAAAGTGGTCAGCAGCATGATCCACATCCACATGTACATGTCTTTTATATTCTATGTGATCATCCTCATCACACGCCTGATGGCATTCTACAAAAATGTTGAACAACTGGGCTTCTTCCGGAGGATTCATGCATTCCTTTTAAGTGCTGTGGTATGGATTGTGGTGCTTATTTCTGTCCCTTTGACCATTGTTTATCACTATGGTGAAAAAAATAAGCATAACCACAGTGATAACTCTACTTGCTTCAAGTTTGGCAGTAACATAACTCCCAGTGTCAAGTGGTCAAACTACTTCATAAGCACGCTGATCATAGTGGTGGCAACTGTGCTGACAGCATTCCAAGCCAATGTCGTATGGGTTTTATATAGGAAGCATCATCAGGAAATCACCTATCAGCAGGACTTCGGGGCTCAGCTGAAGAGCTTGTGCTTTGCTCTCATTATGGTGGTCTGCTTCATCCCCTACCACATGTTTCGGCTGCATTACATAGAACACATTGAGCAAGAGAATATTAATGAGGTGTTTCTGAGTCTGACCACTTTTACCTGTTTCGACATGCTCACTTTTTTGGGGAGGAGATCCTGCCGCACGTGTTTCTTGATAAACTGTTGGTAGCATGATGGGGTCAAGGGTTTTTTTTACTTTTACTGTTCTATGACGTTCTGTAATACATGCACGCAGCAGGATATACAAAACATTTATGTCCTGTACTTCTACTTATTTTGGAAAATTAAGTACCTTGTCTACTCTGCCTTTTTTTTGTCTCACACCTCAGGATTATAGAGAAGTGTGTGTGACTGTATGTTGGTCTGCATGCACTAGCTACTTACTAGTCTTTGAGCTGTTGTCATCCCCATTTATTTTGTTTAAAAGAGTTTCAAAAGCCTGTTATTCTTTGCCTTGATTAGATAGTTGAAAGTGCGAAAGTGAGACAGAGCATAACATGCAACTACAACCAGAACTGAACAGTGGATGTTATGTTTGTGTCAACTGTTTATCAAAATATTAAAAGAATCTGACACGACTGGAAACTTTGAATCAAAATGAATGAACTCCTGCCATTTATTGTGTTTTTATATACTACAGTGCATAGGCTTCAAGCTTGAAATATGTCATTTTACATCATGAAATTGGCCTGAAGATTCAGGCTCATTTTTCAATTATATGTGACTTCATGTCAGAAGCATGTGTGAAACTTTCATATACATGTTCCACCGCACTTAGGAAACATTGTCCTAACAAACACTGGTGAAGGCCAAATGACCGAAAATGTCTTCTTGGAGAAATTATTTCTTCTTGTTTAGTGCAATCCCAATTTGTGATTGTTAGATGCATGAAAGTGAGAATGAAAAATGTATATTGTGTATTTCACTGTATTTACTAACACTTGACCCATGTGTTGTCTACATAGCTCAAGTCTGTAGCTGAGAATAGAAATAAATGTATAAAATTGTTACTTTTTCACCATTATTTTGTGAAACATTACCCCAGTATCCTGGATCTCAGAGGGCCTGGCTGACACACACACACACACACACACACACACACTGCTGATCCTTTTCCTTCTGGTTTTTATGGTGCTGGGTTACTGTTTAACATCCCCACCCTAGTTTGAGTTTGTTTAGTAAATCGATCTAATGACAAGGCTATGGTAGTGCCATCCAGTGAGTCGCTCCATGAATTATAGGGCACTCAGCTCTCAAACCTTCCCTTTTAATGTAGTGGAAGACCTTTACCATTATCCCATTCTCAGTCTCAGTAAGACCATAATGTCGCATGAAGGGGCTGCTCACTAGCGGAATACTTTGGCACCTGGATCAATGCACATCTCAGACGAAAGCAGAAACACAGGTAAGTCGAAAAATTCTTCTATTATGCATTTTGTCACTGAAAAGCAAAATTATCACATTGGTTATAGGAATTATTAACTACAATGTTGCTTTAATGGAGGAAGTGAAGCTTACCTTTAGCAGTTTCTCAAGGAAGTTCGATAACAATGTTTCTGCTAAATCACGTGGTTTTCTATTTAGGTGGTGATATGGTTTACTTCCTTTTCACAGTTGCTGCAAAATGTTCTGTAGCCAAATCTCATATAATGGTATCCATGTGAATTGTAGCTGTCCAAGTCAGTTTCGTTTTTCAAGTATATTTATTGAAATAATGTTCTTACCTCTCTCAGCATTTTATGACAACAGATAAGACAGGTTCACTGTCACGCATGCTGTGTTGTAAAGATCAAATGATAACCCGTACCATATTATCTATAATAATATAGATACTATCTAGGAAGAGCAACAGATTACTAAGCAGTAAGATCCCTACCACTGAAATTACATAAAAATATCCAGTCATATAATTAATGTCCAATAAAATGTTCTTCTGTAATCACTTTAATAGGCAATTGATGCTAATTGTTTGTCAAAAAAAGAAACTCAAAAATGTTTTTATCCTTATTAGAACATACCATGCTGATCATAGTGCCAGTTTTAGTCAAAATATCAGATATGCACAAGGTGGACACAATAACAGAAACACTTAACGCACATTAACAAAGCAACCCCGAGCTCTGCCTGTACTGTAATCAAGATGTTTTTGTCAGTCTGTGCTGAGATAGTTGTGGTTAGACATCTGCAGTGTGTGATGTTGACTTGCCTCACTTCTGCAGGTGATTTGTGTTCACACTTTTTACAGCCTAACACAAGAGCTTACCATCATGTGGTAAGCAAATCCATCTGTCGCAAACAAAAGATTCTGATGAAACAAGCCTTTGGATGTTTTTCTATGGTTATGGTAACAGTAAGAATAAAGCGATATGACACTAGGGGACCAGGGTTTATAGGAAAAAGATTGATTTTTTTCCAGCCTGTGTGCAACTGTAAAATTTAAGGAAACCCACTGTTAAATGTCTTTCACAACTCATTACTCAACTCATTAACTGATTAACTTGCACATACTGTTTTTACTCATTTTCATAAATTCTACATCATGGCAATCGTTTATGAACTGAACAACATGGCAGTAAATAAAAAGCAAATATGCAAGTAATGGCGGTTATTGTACAGATTTAGAAGTGAATAATATTCTACTAAACTGTATAATTTTGTTTTACTATTGCTGGTATATTAGGAAGTAGCAGTTTACCGGTAGTCAGCTGGGAGGCTGATCATCATTTGCAACTATAAAAACCTCTACTCTAAATATAGGTGACAGTATTATGGCCAATTCACACAGAGATAGCCTTTTAGTCCTGGATTTTATGGCTGCAAAGGGGGTTTGGTTGCTAGGCACAGGGTATTTCAATGTCCTGTTTGATTTTTAGTTGAATAATAATCATTCCTGTTGGTTTGGGTGTTTCTCTGAAGGTGTAACTCATGTTTTTATCATTATGTTTATTGTAACATTTTAAAACCAGTAAGCTTACAGGAGACATAGTATGTTGATGCTAGGTGGTTGAATTCATTTTCAATATATTTTTGAGGTGAATAAAATTAACAGCCCAGGTGAACATAAGCCGCTTTTCTAAACAGCTAATCAGCTTCAGTGTTTGGAATATTGGGCCTTGAGCTAAATAAATAAATAAGAGGACATTATTTATCAACTATTCAAATTGTTTAAAATGATTTAAGGCACTCATCATTATAGTAATGAATTCCTAGACATGTTGTCCTTGTGCTTAACAGTGGAGGCTGAGGCTAAAAGAGCTTTTAAAGCTTTCAACTAGCTACAGTGAATAATGTTTTTATGCCTCGGTGCCAGTGATAGCCACAGACATAGGCATTGTTTTCAGGCCGTCCAATCGTCCATCCATATTCTTGTGAACCTGATAGGTCAGGAACGCCTTACTGAAAGATGAAGTAATTAGATTTTGGTGGTCAAAGCTCAAAGGTCACTGTGACCTCGTGTTCATCCCATTCTTGTGAACACAATATCTCAGGAACGCCTTGAGGGAATTTCTTCAAATTTGCCACAAATGTCCATCTAGAATAAGTTGATTAGATTTGGGTGGTCAAAGGTCAAGGTCAGTGACCTCATTTCTGTCCCATACTTGTGAATTTGACTGGAGCCATACAAGTGCTCAGATAAATAGATAGATAGATGGATAGATGATAGATATTTCCCCTTCTCTTCATACATTCAAGGCAGGTTTACAGATGAAAAATCCTCTCTTGTCTCCATAGACCTGTTGAGTCATGGCGCCTGATCTCACTGACTGGTTAAAATGTAATCTCTCTTCCACTTTTCTCTTTCTTTCCCTCTCTATCTTTGTCATGCATGATAATGAGAATTTTGATATACTGTGCCTACAGTGGTAATATCCTCATGTGCGTTCATATAGTATAGGTGCTTTTCTTGCTGTCCCACTCATTGCTGATGTAATGCATCATATCTCCCATAATACTGCCTCTTATCATTTATGGCCTTCTCTAACACAATGCCTCAAAGTCATTACCTTTAAGCCATACAATAAGATTTAGTACACTGAAACTCCTGATATAAAATGGGTGAGTTGGGACATTTAAACTGTTTTATGGTAATAAATTAGAGTGTGTTTACAACACACTGCCCTGAAAGAGAAGGAAACTCACTGACACTTGTTTAATTTTTATTTTGATGTCTTGTGATTCTCTTCAATATATGTATGTGTATTAAAGTGTAAAGTGAGCTGAAATAAGTTTAAGAAGAACAAATTTATGTTAATGTCCTCTTTCAGTTCATTCATAAGTGCTTTTAGTATACTTCCTCTCTTTTTACATGGAAGAGCAGTTTCACAATTCTTGTATAATACACACACTTTCTTCTGTACATACCTTAACACTAGAACCGCCAAGAGGTCATTTTGACCTCTCTTCACTATTAAAACGCATGTAACTTTGTTTGAGTAAAAACTCTATGTCTCTCAGTCAATGACTTTTCCTAAAAGTGTGTTACACATCATCTTATGCGTTTTGGGGATAAATACAAAATGAGTATAGTGTAGTGATGAACCTGATGCAGCCTTACCTAGGTAAGAGGAGAAATGTCACTACAGACAACTTTTTTTTACATCACTCCCCCGTGTTCATTAACTCCTAGTAAGGGACACCAGCCTGGTGAACACAAACAGGCGTTCACTCCCACCTTCTGTGCATCAGAAAGCACCACTGCATGACATCAAAGTGATGAAGAGTGACAAGACAATACTTACAATATACCAGGGCAAGGTGAGCAAAAATGTGTGCATCTCGGCAGTCATCGTCTTCTGTAACATTTTGGACCTGGCTGGCAGCAATGTATGCATTCTTTACTGGAGCTGCACAAAAGTAAAAATTGCTAGGCGCCACTTCCTTCTGCAGTTGTGTAAGAAATTACACAGCGACCACATGCAAATGAAAGAGGCAACTGAGACTGTGCCACTGCCCCTTCAAACAATGGTACAGCAGCCTCAGTAGAAGCAAAGGCAGTGTACATTGAAAATGCACTGCAATAAAAACAAAACTGTCAAATTGTGCGTCAAGTGCCTGGCGACATGTGTGGTCAGTGTACTGTCAAGGTCTTCAGTGTTTGTACTGGTTGTGAGTAAGCTGTGTGGCAGAACTTGGAGCGGAATAGGCCTGTAGTTCCCAAATGTTTTTGACCAAGGCTCTCTTTCTTTGTAAATATTTCTGAATTCATGTTCATTTCTCATGAAAGAAATGGACAGTTATTGTAATGTTCAGTGTTTATGAGCAATGTTAATGTTTTTATCTGTTTGACAGCTTTCTCATATTTTATTACATGTATTTTTCCA